GGGGGGGGGGGGGGGGTGACACTTGTACTGAGAAGAACATGCGTGTATGACAGTCGGGTCGAAAACCAACGGAACAACGGCACTTTTTTTCCCACTCGGATCCTCTCCGCAAGGGGGGCATTGTCCATGATCGTCGACTAGCTCACGCTGCTTTCACTGCAATCTTTTCGTGGAATCGAACGTGAGCATTGAGCACACCACCTGCCTTTTGGCTGGACGTTTTTTGTCCCTGCATGCCAACTGCATGTCCAACGTTACCTTCAGTATGTTCGCGTCCAGCCTACCTGCTCGTGTCTTCTGGGTTTGGCTGATGGCTTTTTGTGTCCATTCTATGCGCGCAGATGTCGACACGTCGGTCTTTGACGAGATCAAGGCCCAGGGGAGCGTTGTCATATGCTGTGAGTGTACGTGCGTATGAAAGTGGTCTCATTGATAGGAACATTCATGAACAATCGAACGACTTTCTCTTTTTCGAAAGCAGCGCCGCCTACAGTAGTACAGTTGTTGCTTGGGCACACAGCTCGCGTGCCGCCTTCGTCGGAAGGCAGAAATCAGAAAGAGACCGCGATGATTATGAGGACAAGCAATTTCCTCTTCTCCGCCTTCTTCCCGGTTGTTTACCGTGCTGCTTCCGGTAAGAATCGCACCCACACGAAGACCGTTTCCTGTCCAAGTTGGGGTGAAATCTGCGTTGTTGATGACCGAGCGATCCTTTGCTTGTTGTTTGGACGTGAACACGCCTTCTGTCCCGGCTGACACGCCCTTTTTCTTTCCTGGATATTCATTGTGGCGTCACGGGCGATACATTTCCTCGACCGCGCAAACGCGGTGTTACAATTGTTTTTTTTTTTCTGATATGCGGACCCTATGTACTGCTATATACCATGGTAGAGTAGTCAATTGTTTTTTTTTTCTGATATGCGGACCCTATGTACTGCTATATATAGCATGGTAGAGTAGTAGCGGGGAGATCGCCTGGTTCACCCTAGTCCCGCAACCGGTCCTTTGTAACCGAATAAGCTCAGAACCCCTTCTTTCTCCTGGAACAGATAGGAATAGCGCTCTCGAACGGGGTGTGAGCTCCGCGGTCGAATGACCCAAGGCAGACAACAAAAAAACACCCCCCCTTGCGAGGTAAATGATCGAACGACTACGGCATGCACGACCATGAGTACACCCCCCTCGCCCCTGCTACATACTGCAGATTTTTCGGCTGGGACGAGGGAGGATTGGCGTGAGGATGCCGACGACTTCCCTGAGGAAGGCTTGGGGAAGCCTCTCGCCGATTGGGATGGCGAGGTGTGGGTCGACGTCAACAACGAGGTGCGTTTTCTAGTAAGGGGGCGGGTGCTCCTTCAAGCACGACGGCTGGCGTAGTATGTGACCCCGCGATCCCCGAACCATCTGTCCACGTAGGCACCTTCACCGAGTTTCTGCAGAAGTCGCCGCGTTGTCGACTTGTGGGGTGGGTACAGTACCGTCAAATAGGTCACGCAAACCGCCCGAGAGCGGGGGGTCCACCACGTACCCGTGGGGCGCCCCCCGCATCCCTCGATTCATGGGGATGACGTTTTTGTTTTTCTCGTGGAAGGGGGACAAATCGACCCCCCTTCCCCCGCAGCCGTCCAGTGATCACCCCGTGCTTGACGGTAGACTCTGGTGCTTGAAATCTTGCATTTTACCGCTTGGAGGGTTGTTTCGATCGATTGGCCCAGCAGGACGTAGACGCGGTTCGTTTCAAACCCGTTCCAATTCACCGTATTCCATACAACACTACATCTTCGTTGGTTGTGTCAGCTTTCCACTGGTTGCGTTGTTCGTTCATTCGTTCGTTTTTTGATTCCCTCAACGTCTGCCTTTGATACCGTCGATTCAGCCGAACCGTCACGCCGCATCAGCTTCCACCTTTGCCCTCCTCTTTTCTCTTGTCGGTCGAATTCCTTTTCGGTGGCATTCTTCGTTCGGCCAAGGAATTATTTTGTTGATTGCCCCGATTCGGAGTAGTTTTCATTTTACGGCCACCCACCCTTCCCACCCAACCAACCTCACACACGACGTCACGAACCCCGCTACCCGCACCCCCGCCCACCGCCCGCCCGGACAGGAGGTTCGCGCAGTGATGGCGGCTCGGCTAGACACGGCTGTCGAGAAAGGGTGTGACGGCGTCGAGCCGGACAACGTGCAGGCGAGCGCGCACAACCAACAACCTCTCGGTTGGAAGCCACCGCATGAAGTCTTCGTATCTTAGACTCCAACTTAGAGCGGCAGACACGGTCTCTTTTCGCGCGTCGTTTTACGTATATCTTCTCCCTGTTCTCTTCCTTCCCAATCCCGCGTGTACTGTAGTGCACAGACGCTGTTCCTCCCGTCTCTCAAATGACAGCTTTGACGAGCATCTTATTCATGGTCTTTGTGCCATCAGCTGAAACCACACATGCTTCTTCTCGTCTTTGAACACCCCCGAGTTGGTGTACGCGGCAGGTGTACGCGGAGATTCTGCGGGGCGTCGACACGGGAGTCAACGTTACTGCGGACGAGCAACTCGACTACAACACGTTCTTGGCCACGGAGGTGCGCGCATGTTTTTTTTTTCGTTTGTCTCCAGTTCGCGTGAACCGTTCAAAAGCGGCTGACCAATGACAAGACGTCAGCACCGGACGCGTCAACAACCGGCTAAACAGCCAGCCAACCAACCGCAGGCACACAGCCGCAACCTGTCGATCGGTCTGAAGAACGATTTGGACCACCTGACTGAGCTGGAGCCGTTGTTCGACTGGGCCATCAACGAATGCAAGTGAAGCATGCCTAGGGCACATTGTAGACAAAGCAACCGGGAGAGATGATGTTGACGTTGAGGTTGTCTTCATAAGCGGCACTTCATCCTGTTATGAAACGTTCACTTTGTCCAAGTCGTCAAAACATCCTCACCGACGATGTTGAGCGCTGATCGGTTGCATATTTTGATAATTTGTCACCCAGAGGCGAGAGGAGATACACTTGCTGTCCGAGGGGCGGTAGCCCCGCTGGTTGTTGTAGATGGTCTCGTTGTGGTAGTCAACATTTTTTTTTGTCATTTTTTTTTTCTTGTGCGTGTGTAATCTTGGTTTATCGTTGGTTTATTTGTTTGCCCCGTCTGTCTATTCGTGTAAACCACTCTTCTCACCTCCGAACGTGCAGATTCCATTTGCGTGTCATGCCTATCACAGACGATCGCAATTCGTGCAGTTATGTGGTGATTGCGAGGAAGAGATTTGCTCGAAAGGATACACGCACAGTCCAGTTCTCCGTCTCACACCCAGACGAGAGCTGATGGAGTTTCAAGTTAAGGAGGTAGTCTATGGTGCGTGTCCAATTAATAAGCACGATGCTGTTCAACCAACCGACCATTGAAGCCGATATATCGTACCACCTGTCATGCTCATTGTTGACCCAATTCCCACACCCGATCCCTTCGTACCTTCCAATTTCTCAACCAATTCTCGCAATCATTCCCCTCCGTCGTCTGTCACTCATCATGTGCTCTATCTAACTCCTGGTCCCCCTCATCGTCGTCTTCACCAGCGTGCATGGAGTACGATGAATGCGACGTGAGTGAGAAAAATATATCCGGCCGTCGACGGTTGTAAATTCACGCAATTCTGTCTCCTCTAGCGTCGCTGGTGGATAAGTAGGTACACTCCTCACGGACAAGCTCGACTGGACCTCGTTCGAACAACTCCCCTTTTTTGCACATGCTCTTGTCTACTCCAGGTCCCCCCCCTCCTGACCAATACAACTAACAGCAGTCCTTTTCCGCTCTTGTGCGGATCGTTGGTGCGCTCTCGCGCCGTGCTGACCATCACTCGCTCACAGGGCTACATAACGACCTTTATCGCCGCCGGCAAGTCCGTTTTCCACACAGAGTAAGAGGCTACAGTGTGCATGCTGCTTGACAAGCTTCTACCCTGCTGGTCACGTTGACAGTACTGGTAGTGTGTTTTTTTGGCTGTGTGGGTGTGAATTCGTCAGTGTTTCTGTTTGAGTTGTGCTACACACCGGAGTACCGGTCGTCTCCCGTGATTTGTTGGGTATCGCACGCGTCGGAGTCATCGCACGTTGGTATGTGTTTCAAAGAATCGCCGCTTGGATTTGTTCTGTATCGCACGTTTGGGAGTCATCGCAAGGGCTTATGATAAAAAGTCAAGAACCAAACGATTTAGAAACCAATCACACGGGGGTGAGATGACTCGCGTCCCTACGGTAACCAACATACTGTATAACACAATCCTTCACGTTTACGGCATGTTTTGCTGCTGTGTTCCGTGGTATGCTGGCACGCCCTGTTTTCCTTCTTTGCCCGTGACATGCCGTCCTCCCTTGAAGTACCCCCACCCCCCCCTGGCACTACCAGCCATTTTCATCCCGGTTGACCCCCGCCGCCGCGTCGTTCCCTTGCCATCCTGCACCCCATCTTGTGTCACACGACGTAGGTATGAGCATTCTGACCTGACCTTCTGTGACGAGGCGAATGCCATCGGCATGTCCTCCCTTCTTAAGGTACGTGACATGCTGTGTCCTCGTGTTTCACAATCCGATCAAGGGCTCGAGCCACGGCTCGTAATGCACGCGTGGAGGGCAAACCCAGCTTCCGTTTCTTCGGTGGTTCTTTGAGAGATCGACCGGAGAAATATGGTCACGTGCGGCGTAGGCTGTATCTGTATCATTTTCCTTGAGTTATGAATAGACAAGATCGCAGTACCGCCGTTGTTGTCGTTGTCGTCTTGTCATAAAAAAAAATATATTTGTGGCACACGTATCCCCTAAGGGACAAGAAGAGTACAGTCGACCCCGCGTTAAAGACACACCACGTTTTCCCCCCAAAAAAGTGTCTTCAACGCGGGGAAGTGTCTTTAAAATTCCGGGGCCACTAACGCACCATCCCCGGGGCCAATGAAGACGAAACATATGTCAAAAGGTGCGCATTCGCAGCAGAAAGGCGACCACAAGAGGTGTTGTTTGAAACCTACGACACAAGGTGATTTGAAGGTCGCAACCACTGCTGCTATTGTGCTGCAGTACATACTTGCATACCATCGTTTGAATTTCCCCGTACTGTACCACCAAAACGCTGAAAGCGATGGTGTTCTACGACCTACGCATCGTACATGTACACGACGGTAGTGCGCTGGTGTTGATATGGGCTTAATTATTTGCTTTATTTTATTTTTTAGGCGTTGTCCTCCCCGTGAATATCTTGCCCATGATCTCGCTACCGCACGCACCTGAGAAATATCGAAGGTTGTAAAACGACACTAGGAAAATGTAGGTTACGCAGAAATACAGAGACCAAAAATGTCGGGAAAGCACAGCGACAAAGAGGACACCGCGCCTCCCAAAAGGTCAAAACGAGGCACAACAACACAAACGCCAAATTCAACCTCACGAGACTTCACCCAAGGCAAACAAGGAACGTTGGCAATATAGCTGCTTTGCTCTCGAAATCATTTTCTGGGGGGGGTCGAATGGTGGAAAACCCTACCCCCCCTACTTTTTCACATCTGCAGGGCACCATGTTTCTGAGATTGTTGTGTCCTTAAAGCGGGGAGTGTCTTTCAAAATGGTGTCTTTAAAGCGGGGACGACTGCACTGACAAAGTTCACGCTTCGGGTTTCAGCAGACCTGAAATTTCTACTGGGGAGAAGATAAGACCGACACCCGAACGGGTCTGCCCTTCGTCTTCTGCTGAACCTCATATTTTCGTGACAGTTTCAGAAATCCGCCAAGCTAACCACACGCCACACGCAGCCCAGAGTAGAACAAACCCAAAACCAGGTACGGTGGTGCGCTAATTGGAGGCACAGAACTTCGCCACAGGTAGGTGTGAAGAGGAAATGAGCGCGTGATGATGAGGAATCTGCCACGCAGTGTTGTTCACCATCTACCCCAACAAGGCAAGCACCTACCGCCACACACAACATTATCCCCCCTCTCTCTGCCGTGCCCCCTGCCCATTACCCCCCCCTCTGTATCTGCTTGCATCTGGTCGCATCCTGCATCATCGTTGCATATCGTTGCACAGTCGTATGATCTCGGGCCTGAGAGATGCAGCTGCCAGGACTCAAAAACGAACAACAATTGCGCCTTGCTGCTCGAGTTGGGGGCGGACTACGAGCAGCCCTCAAGTAAGTGGCAGCCTTCGATCCATCCCTGCGGTGCTCTCGTTATTGTTCTGTACACCATACCATGTCATTCCGTTTGTTAGTACCACACCACTTTCTTGTGATACCCTTTTCCGTGTTTTTTTTTTATCAATCTCTTGTCGGGGCTTGAAACCTGCGTTGGCTCCTCTTTCTTCCGTCTTTGCTTCTCTGGAAGCTGAAGTGAACCACCGCGCACCGTCTAGTTTTCCTAAATCCAAACGGTAAACCAACGAACTCACTCGTCATTCGGCGGCTTGGTATTTTTTCACGGGATACTGTTTCTCGAGTTCCACAACCGCGAGTTGAGGCGATTTGAAAGTGTGGGGGGGGGCGGTCAACACTTGATGTTGTTGTTCATATTCCGTGTGTTTCGCAGTGGACCCTCACCTCTTTTCCAGTTCTCCATCTGATATCCGGCGATTACACTGTACCGGTGTAGCTCGTCATCACGCCCCTCACCATTCAGTATGGTTGTATCGTGTTGTACGACCGAAAGACAGATTGCTTGGTGGTTATCCCGATTGATCTACGCCACGGTTAACCTCGTCCTTGGTCGGCAACAGAGAGGTACCATGGGCAAAAATAGCTGTGCTGGGAAAACTTGCTCGGTGGAAACGTTTTTGCCCACGATACTTCTGAGAAGCGCTACACCTGCAGCTTGTAGCGTGAGACTAAAACTACGCGTTTTAAGCGCGAATCTCTCGTCTACAGCTACAAGCAAGTATCACGTCGGAAGCAAATCGAATGACACACAGAGGTGGAAGGTTCCCCCCGTCGATGATCTCAAAGGTGGTATATATCTCATCCCCACAGCGTTTGTCGCAGGCACGAAAGAACGGAAAAAAAGAGAGTCTTGAGGGAAGGAAGCAGCAATCGAGGGCACGATCTCTTCCTCCACCGACCCCCCACCGCACTGACGCTGCCTACATGTCCATCAACGTTTGTTCGACACAGGTGTGTACAGCTCCACGTCATCATCATCATCATCATCGTCAGGCGAGGAGGGAGACGAAACAGAGAACAAGTCTACCGGGGGGGCCTCGGCACGCCACGCAGGAGGAGCATCGTCGTGGGCAGCGCTTGTCGTGTGTGCCGTCGCCGCCATCGCGGTGTTCGTCTGAGACGGGATAGGGACGAAACAGACCAACCCCCTCCCCCCCGCCCCCCCCCCTCGGTGTTTGCCATCGGGGTTGGGTTTTCGTCGCGTGGCAACGACGTTGTAAAACAAGCCAATTCAACTCGTGAACTCGGCAACCAGGTTACCGTTTGTTTGTTTTTTACCTCTGTTTTGTTTGGTGGTAACCATAATGGTGGTCGAGTTGATCATGTTGTGCGGTGTGGAGAACCCTCACTCCGCGCAAGGGGGATGATCGCATCACGTTGTGTTAAAATGGCCAAGCACCCTCGAGGCAGCTACACAGAGCTTACAACTGTCTCTGGAAGTGAAAGCACCAGAAAATAAATTAATTCATACGCAGCTGTCATCCGTACGCAAGGAAGTAAGCACAAGATGCCGAACACCCTTATCAGGATGCAGCGCACCCTTCATGCGACTCGCCGAATATCTCACGGCGCTTCGCGCTTGGTGATGTGCGAGCCTGGTCCGGTGAGAACCCGGCGTGCTCCGTCCCGGCTTTGTAGGGATGCGAGGTCAATGGTCTAGCGACTACGGCATGCACGACTATGAGTACACCCCCCCCCCACACACACACGCACAACCGAGGACGAAAGTCGCCGATTTGCGTCAGTCATAGCTGGTTGGTTGCTGATGGTGGGTAGGATTACTACCATGTGGCGCACGTTCGAGTTCGTCTTGCCTGGACATGCGGCGTCTTGTCTGGAGATGCCGCCGTGGGCATCTGGACGACGCAACAAGAAGGAGTAAAAGCTAGAAAATGCGCCGTGAATAGATACGATGGTACGCCTCCTCCATGATGGGATAGATGATCCTTTGGCAGAGATATAAAATATTACAAAATCGCCAATATAAGTAGGCAAGACACTGTTTTCTGGCTGGGTGTTGCGATAGAGACTACTAGTGCTTTGGTGTCAAGCGTGTTGCTCCCATGTTTGCAGCAAGTACTACCGTGCAGGCATACACCGATTGCACGCCGGATCGTAGGTTTTCGGTTCGACTAGAGAGGCAAAGCCGCCCAATAGGTAGGGTTGAGATGACGCAAAGAGGTGAGAGAATGTTTTCCCAGACATTTGGGTGGATTTGACAGTACTCTCGTTGAGACTTTACGGTCTCCTCACGCTGCTGTTATGGAGGAACATTGCTGCTTGATTTAGCGCATGCATGCGCTGCACTCACTTATGGGTTCAGGATTGGTAGTGGTTAAGGCAGACAGACAAACTAATTTAAAGTGCTTTGATGCCTGATGTGTTGTGTTCGTAAAACCCTTCCCCGTTGTCCACCTCGTCGAAGAGCTCCCGCGGCATAGTCTAGATAGCTCGGGCGTGGAGATATTCGCTATTAGTATTATAGGACAGATTGACCGCGCTATCGTGCAGGATGCCGTGCGCGGGCGATGTGGTGTTGCCTGTTTACGTTTTAGTGTCATGGGTTGCATAGTTTTCTCCACGGCGTACAGCGGCCATGACCTGGTTGGTCGCCGAAGAAGCGTGCCCCCCTTCGATGACACTCTCTTCCCCGCCTCCGTAAGTGGGTACCACCTATTACTGTAATTTGTGGTATTTTATAGTACTCCTGGAATAATTGTCTGTGACTGAGCTTCTTCTGCCCTCCGAGCAATGTAGACTACAGTAGACTATATAAAGTGGTATCTCCGCTGAGTGACAGCTTGGTGGCCATCATGTGGTTGTTTGCAACTTTCCCCGGTAGACGTACGCATGCCACCGACGAAGTCAGACTGGTCCATGGAGACTTTTCGTGTTTCCGGGCCATTTCTCTTTTCTTTGTAGACTATATCTATATCGTAGTACGATGTGGTGCCCTTTAGGGGGGAGTAGAAAGAGGTAAACAATGCGGATAGAGGTCATAACGGCTCTTAATGTTCGGCACAGCAGCAGTAACGACGCTGGAAAAAATAAGCAGGTGTGGGGGTAATAGGGGAGAAGGCATGTACACGTGTGTTGGTAATGTGAGAATTTATTATTTCTGTACCTTCGGCGCTGTAGCGCCGGCGTCAAAGAAATAGTAGTCTTGACGGCCTATTTTGGCACCCCTATCTACCCACCGCTAGGAAAACAGTGAGCAACAGAACGAGAGGAGAAAGAGGTACTTCGAATGCGGTAATAGTTGATGTCGCTCTCTTTGTCTCCCTCCCTCGCATGTGCTTGTACAAGTACTATCATTGGGGTGGTGGCGTCGACCACTCTATCCTTACATTAACCTATTATGAATCGTTCATCCAGTAGACTATTCTCAAGTCTCGGTATGTATGAACACGCGCGTGCGCCGTGATGTTCTTTACGTGTGTTTCAAAAACGTTTGCTTCGTAGTCCTTGCAAACGTTGATGGAACGTGGCAAAAGAAGGGAAATGATGAGACACGGTAAGGATTCACACTCGGTCTTCTCTCACTCTGGATGGATGTCGAGCGACAAGCACGATCCATTTGTTGTTGTAATTTTTTTTCTTGTCTCTACTTGAAATCTGCGCTCACAGCATTTGCGCCGTTTACTCCAACCTGAATACCTGAGTGTGTTGATATTATAGCGTGCTACGCGTAGAAATCGATACATACAAAGTGCACATAGAGAACCAACTAGAGGACAGTATAACAACTCAAAACACGTGATGGCCTAAAAACGCGCGAACTTGTTCTCCTGGCTTTGCCTCGCCAAAGATGTACAGCGCTCGATAGCCAAGACAAGGACACAACAAGAAAAGCAAGGTCATACACATCCTGCTTGCTTCGTCAGAAAGACGGCAATGCCTCCCCCAAAACTGCTGCCGTGCAAGCTAAGCAACACGACCGCAAAAACGAACCCGTGCCTTGGCACAGCAGCAGTACTTGTGGCGTGAGCCCAACGGTGCTGCCTGCTGCCGTGCAAGCTAAGCAACACGACCGCAAAACCGAACCCGTGCCTTGGCACAGCAGCAGTACTTGTGGCGTGAGCCCAACGGTGCTGCCTGCTGCCGTGCAAGCTAAGCAACACGACCGCAAAACCGAACCCGTGCCTTGGCACAGCAGCAGTACTTGTGGCGTGAGCCCAACGGTGCTGCCTGCTGCCGTGCAAGCTAAGCAACACGACCGCAAAACCGAACCCGTGCCTTGGCACAGCAGCAGTACTTGTGGCGTGAGCCCAACGGTGCTGCCTGCTGCCGTGCAAGCTAAGCAACACGACCGCAAAACCGAACCCGTGCCTTGGCACAGCAGCAGTACTTGTGGCGTGAGCCCAACGGTGCTGCCTGCTGCCGTGCAAGCTAAGCAACACGACCGCAAAACCGAACCCGTGCCTTGGCACAGCAGCAGTACTTGTGGCGTGAGCCCAACGGTGCTGCCTGCTGCCGTGCAAGCTAAGCAACACGACCGCAAAACCGAACCCGTGCCTTGGCACAGCAGCAGTACTTGTGGCGTGAGCCCAACGGTGCTGCCTGCTGCCGTGCAAGCTAAGCAACACGACCGCAAAACCGAACCCGTGCCTTGGCACAGCAGCAGTACTTGTGGCGTGAGCCCAACGGTGCTGCCTGCTGCCGTGCAAGCTAAGCAACACGACCGCAAAACCGAACCCGTGCCTTGGCACAGCAGCAGTACTTGTGGCGTGAGCCCAACGGTGCTGCAGCAACGTTGATTGCAATCGCCCACCACGTCTTTCTGCACGACCGGCAGCACGGAAGTAAAGCAAAAGGGAAAAAAGCAAGAAAATCGAGTGGAAAAACCTCCGGCAAATAAAAGTCTACACTAAATTGTTAACATCAACCAATTTTTTTGGGTATCCGCAAACAACACACACGTAAGCGAAAAAACACAGAAGTCCCCCCCCCTCCCGCCCCCTCCCTCCCCTGCGGAACCGCTTTCCATCATGACGGGTAAAACAAAGAATGATCTGCATTTGCTTCGCACCGAACATCAACCCGCATATCGCGGTGTGTGATACATAATACGTGTTTCACCCTGACTCAGGCGACAAATGCAGAGAATAAAAACCTCCGAGTACTATGTAGTATGGTAATATATGAATGTTACAAAATGAAATGATATCTCCGAATCAACTGTCGTGATGTAAACAGAATCACCTCCCCAACCAACCGCAAACTCATACTGTATCTACCATATATATCTCCTTCGCTAGATTGTCAACACAGAGGAGCAGCTTCAAGGTCTCCGCGCAAGCAGACCCGATCTAACCCCCATACCAAGGCAACGCCCAAGGGTGACAGGCAACGACCGCCGGCCTGTGTTGCCTCCTACGCGACCCGGCACTAAAAACGACCACCGGGCGAGGAGGCTAAAGTATATCTGATTTCGTCTGCCGCAACATAAAATGGTTGGATTTTCGTCTCTCTTAAACCAGAAAGAACCAAGCAGCCCGACCGCCCCACCACCGCCGGAATCAATCTACTTCTACAGACTAGGCTAATATTCTCATATTAGAGGGCGTTCGCCGCCGCAGAGCGAACCTCAAGTTCATGAAACCGTAGAGAAGCACCGCGATAGATAGGCAGGTGAAATATAGCAAGGAAGCGCGACGAAGGACGGGACAGCTCCTGTCTTTGCCACGTGCAAACACCTCCGACTCTGTAGACGGACTGACAGGCTACAGGTATAGATAGTCAGCCGCCCACCCTCCCCCCCGGGGGGGGCAGCAACGCCCCCCACGAAACAAACAAAAAAAACGTGCAAAACAACAGAGAAGAATACAGTTTTCTTGGAAAAATACAAAATCAACCCCGAGAAAAACAGATTTCTCTTGGACAGACGCGTTTGTTGATGGACGCTACCTCGCCGTGCACGAGTAAGACCGGGCCGGGTTCCGTTTTTCTCGCAACGAAGAAGAAGCTGTACATCGCCATTCCCAGAGACTGCTCTACTATTGTGTATTTTCTCAACAAGCAACACTCTACGAAGCTTCTCCCTCCCGTTCCCGCCCATTCCCGCCCACTTGTCTCGTGCCGTGCTTACGATGTGACTGTGAAGACCGGAACGTGCCGAATGGGCCATAACGATCATGCGCCTAACCGGTTACCACTTTTCTACGGCGGCAGTGGAAGACTCCTGCCGCCACTTCCGAGATGATCCTTTTTGTACAGTGGTTTACCCTGTACACGCTTCATAGATGGGTGCCCGCTGCTGACAACAGCTACCAAACGTCTCTCCGTTCGTTCCACTGTTTAACACATCTAATAAGTAGCATGATATCGCTGCATCCAAACTAGCACCTTCGAGAGCTACTGTGCTGCAACGTTCTACAGCATGGTACCGCCGCATTAGAATTGAACCCTGTTTATGATATTCGGCCCCAACATACATACGACAATACGTATGATATCGCCGCCATCAAATCAGCCCTTTCTAGGTTAGCCTGCCCGTTGTGTACAGCATGGTATCGCCGGATTATAAATCAACACTTCTTAGGATCATCTGCCCCGATATACAGCATGATGCCGCCGCCTTCAAAATCAGCCGTTTCCAAATTTAGCCTGCCCCGTTTTGTACAGCATGATATTGCCACACTAAAGTTTAGCCCTTCTCCAGCTATCCTTCCTCGATGTACAGCATGGTATCGCCGCGTGTACAGCCACAGTCCGCCGCCTTCGAGGACAAGCCCTAGCGACTCCTCGAGAACTTTTTTTCTGTAGTGGCTGTTTACTACCGTTTTTCAAGCCTGGAAAACAATCATCGATCAAATACTTCTCGTCGGCATACCGTGCTACACTAGAGAACAAGACCAACCAAGAGTAACAAAAACGAAGCGTCGGGCAAGCCTTATGGTCTTCGCTTGAGCAAAGCTTGCACGATGTTCAATCGAAGTTCTACACCAGTATGCAAGACAAGCGTTTCGTCTGCCTGTTGAATGACCAAGGACCGGCACAACAGTACTAGCAGCAGCAGTCACAACAACAACACCAACACCAACACCCCCACCAACAACAACACTGCCATACAAACATCAGCAGGACCGCGGGGACAGCTCCCACCGCAACCTGCTGACGGTTGACCATACGTAGACGGAAAATAAAGCGTCTGTGGAACACAAGAAAGAAAAACCCGCACGGAAAACGCCGGCTGAGGAAAATCACAACGAGAAAACTTGGTCGGACCCCCAAGGGATGAACCCAGCCCGTTTACACCGTTGGATGTCTAATTTTGGCACGACGTAGGGGGGGAGAGAGAGAGAGGGCGAGAGCGACAAGCCACCCATGTCATAGAGAAACATATCTAATCACACGAGCAACATAAAACAAAAACCACGAGACGCACAAGAAAAATTATCGTACGACGGACACACAAAAAGCCGGAAGAGACATTGAAAAAGAACTCGAAATATAGAACGGGCGCACAGTAGCAGACGCCCACCCTCGGGGTACGACAACGGTGCTACAACAACTCTCGCAAGACTAAAGCAGCATGCGCAAATTTCATTGGTGCACTCCCACCACAACCCCCTCAACTTCATCATTCCCAAACAGGGCCAGACTACCACCCCCTGGATGGTTCCGTCACCAAATACCTTCTCCATCAGGTCCTGTTCACCCCCGTCCTCTCCTCTTTGCCTGCCTGCTCCTGAAAAAATAAAAGCCCTATGTGTACCTGTGGGGGTACGCACAATCGCTGTCACGACGGCGATCTCCAGCGTGAGGAGAACATCGGCCCGCCCTACAACTCCGAGGCATCGCACACCTCGAAGGCTAGCTGCGGCTCCCCTCGGAGGCGCCTTGCCCGACAACGCCCCCGCCCACTGCTTTATCCCCGCCGACATCCCCTGGTCCGGAGGTCTTCCCAGTCCCATCCTTTTCTTTCTCCATATTCATATCCCGCTCGCGCTTCCTTTCTCCGTGCCTCTCCTCCTCTTCCTCCTCCTCCTCAGATGCTTCCTCCCCGGATTCCTCATCCCAAGCTGCTTCGTCGTCATCATCATCATCATCATCAGTATCGTCATCGTCGTTATCTTCCTGTCCCCCCCGTGGCCCCACCCTATCGCCGGGCTTGTCTTTCTTCTTCTTTCGGGGAAGAGGCATGGACAGCGCTATGAGCACCGCATACAGCTCCTTCGAGTTGCCTGTAGCAAGGTACTGAGCGTGCTTCTCGCGAGTCGTTCTCGTGATGCGCCGCCCCATCTTTTTTCGTCGCGCGTTCCGAAACCGTTTCGTGGGGGGGGGGGCGTCATCAATCCAATCCATTAATCGTCCCCGCAACTGAAAATTACAAAAAACTCAAAACAACAACAAAACTGAGGATATGGATTCATTGCTGATCAATCTTAAGAATATTTTCTACCATATACAGATAGAGATGGATTCGTTCATGTCATACTATTAAGAAGAAAAAAAAAAGTTTTCCATTTTCAAGGGCCCGTGGTGGTTAAGATTTAAACGGAGGCGGACGCCAAGTAAATATTTCGGCGGGCGATAGGAAGGATGGGCCCGGCAGGGCTAGCCACGTTCATCCAAGACCTCAAATCCTTGCGCACCGCAATACAAACAATTTTTCAGGGGAGCTAGAGCGCTTTGCTTGTATCTGAAACGAACGCCATCCATACCTCCTGAGAAATCAACCACGAATGAATGAATGCCTTTCGGCGTGATCAGATGCTGCGTCAAAGGCCCAGGGACGCAAGTGTTCTGATACGGCCAGGGGATTGATTGCGGTCGAACCAGTCGGTCCGAGTGAGATCGATCGCCCACCTGTGCCAGCAGGAAGAGCCTCTGCCTGTCCGTCAGCATGCCTTGCTTCGCCATCACGGCTACCAGCTGGGACACGTCTTGCCTCAGACGCCGGTCTCCGCTCGGCTCTTTGCCCTCTTTGCCTGCACACCAAAAAAATTGAGGGCGACGGCGGCGGCGATGACATCAGATTAGTAGCAGAGACGTTTTTCGCTTGTCAGCCAGTCGCACAACCTCAAGACCACCATACATGTTGCCGCAAGATGCAAGGTGCAAGGTGCTATATCGAGTCGCGAGTGTTTGTGGCATAAATATTAGCATCGACCGAGCTAACCGGCTGACCAATGAAAACACGTCAGTCTCATCTGTGTGTGTGTGTGTTTCGTACTAGCATCGACCGCGTTAACCCGCTGATCAATCAAAATACGCCCGTGCCAGCGGATATAATCAAGGTCCCGGGATCGTAGATCCTCGGTGCGGTTTGAAAGGCAAGATGGCAACGACGCTGCCGAAAAAACGTCCACAAACCGCCGAATACCTTTGCCAAACGATGACGCTGCGCTTGATGCCGACTTGCTCCCTTCGACACTTTCACCAGTTTCAGCAGCAGCAGCAGCAGCAGCAGCAGCAGCGCTCTTGGCCTCAGCAGCACTCTTCATCCCCGCAAACCTCGCCTTCATGAGCTCCTGGGCCCGCGCCCCGACCGCCGCCGCCGCCGCCGCCGGTGTCTTGACTTCCGCGGCGGGCCGCGACCATATGCTCTCGCCCGTCGCGTCACTACCGCGACCGCCTTCACCGCTCTCACCGTCGCTGCTAACGCCGACAGAGGCTTGCGCCCGTCCACCCCCGTCTCGAGAAACACCGGAGCCGCAGCCGAGGTCCAAGCCACCCCTGCCACCACCGGCGCCGACGCCTGACGGCAGCTGCTGCTGCTGCTGGTGGGGAAGAGCCCGTCGCTGCTGCGGGGGGTCGGCCCTTCTCGTTTCGGGCACGGCGGCGGCGGCGGCGGTAAGCGATAGCTCTATCTCGGCCGCCGTCTGGAGCGTGTCGAGGAGGTCCTGCACCACAAGAGGCGGCGAAAATGAGAAAAACAAGGGAGAGGACAAACGGGGAAAGGCTCAAACGGGGGTGCGACAGGCACCGGTACCCATCTCAACCAGTGGCGGGGCCCCCTCCTCCGCAGAATCCACCTCAAAAGACCTCAACTTCTAGATACGAGAAGCTGCGACGGCGCACAGGGCATAAGCGCTGTCGACAAAACGTACGCGAGGGGTGCATCAAGCTCAACCTTTAACAAATTTTCCTAAAAAACAGCAGTTTCTATGCATACGTGCCATTATATAGCGTTCCACAAAAGGCCGAACGTCAACGGTAAGAGCGTGCCAGCCCGCACTCCGCTTCGAGGGGCGGGACTCACCTCAAGGTCTTGGTTGGCCCCGTATGCTTCCACCGCCGCCAGCAAGACGGGGCTCCCCCTGTTGGACATGGTCTTGAGCGCCCGCTCTTCGCGCTCGCCGATCACTCCCCTCAGTCTCAGCAGCTGCGAGCACCCCGCAACGACTCGACAGAGCTGCCCGACCACCATATCGAATGCCGGGTTGCCCGCCTCTCCCTTACCGTGTCCGACTGTTCCACGATTAACAGCAGCGGTACCCTCTGCCTCATTGCCGGCCTGAGTCGAAGCAGGAGCACTGCTGCTGTTGGCAGGCGCTGTCGACGCCGAAGCTACTAGTTCTGATGACGCCGCTGCCGCTGTTGCTGCTGGAGTAGACGCCGATATTGAGGAAACCGAGGCGTGGGGGATATTCTTCGCTGACAACACCGTGCGACTCACCGATGGCTGTGGCTCTTGCTCGTGCTGACGCTGTGGTTGCTGTTGTTGATGTGGCTGCTGCTGCTGTGGTTGTGGCTGCTGCCGTCTTGGCCAAAACGGAGAGTCTGCCTCGCCCGGGGGCGGCGGCTGCGACGTATTGGCTGCCAACACTGCCGCTTGATCTCGCTCCAGAAGAGCCGGCAGGCATTGAAGATTTTGCTGGGGGCAAAAGAGGTGAGGGGGATCGCAACAGGTTTTATGGGTCACGAAGGGAGTGACTGTCAGTAAACCGTCCACTAACGAGCAGCGCGAAAACGGACACGGAGTGCAACACTGAATAGAAAAAAGAGGCATGGCATGCTGCACCGAAAAAAACAGCAGGTGAGGGAGTGCCAAATTGTACCAAGGAGACACCCACCTACGGTTACTTTGAAACGGGCATACCACGTGCGATCCTCCGTCCAGCGGGGGGTGCTGTGAAAGCCTACTTACGCCAAACCTAAAAAAAGAAGTCAGCATTCTCCCACTCCCTCCCTTCCTTTGAGCCGCCTCTGGCAAAGTAGGAAGGAACGGTTGGCCATCGGCGGTCGGCCCTGTGGGAACAATGCTCCGTCCTCTCGAGGACGCGAGGTCAATGTTCTAACAGCTAAGGCATGCAAAACATAAGGATACGCCCCCCCTCCCTCCCTGCTACCCACCATCAGCCCTCGGACGTCGCCGGTCTCCATACACTCGTCGTAGATAGCGGAGACCCACGGGTGCCCCACAGAGATCGCCTTCTCCACCACCGCCTTGTGCTGCAAGCTGAGGCCAGCACTTCCCTCTTCGATCAGCGAGAGAGCCTGCGACCCGACGACAGCGCGCGCGCAATAGGCAGCATTCGGACTGGCGAGCAGCACGGCTATTTTGTTAGGGTTGGCGAAGACTAGTGTACGCCTGCCTTCCTTCGATTCGATACGAAAGCCCTCGACCAAGGGACTGGGTGGAAACATCATACGTGCAGCACCCATGACGACGTGACCGTACCGGCTCGGCTGCCTACCGTTCCGACGAACGAAGCACAAGAACACACTCAACCGCGGCCGGTCGTGCAACCACCATGGCACCGCCGTTTGACGATAAAAACGAGCAATGGCAACGTGATCACACGACCAAGGCGAGCACGTACGGCACACAGCAGGACAACATGAAAAAAGAGCCCGCCCCCGACCGTCTGTCATCGTTCATCTATTCTCTGCCAGGTCACCTGACGCAAAAACTCGTCGCGCAGCTCGGCCTCGCGTGCAACGAGGTCCTCTGCCACCATGCGGCCCTGCCCCAGACTCCCGTCTGCCGTCGCCGCCCCCGCCGCTTTCACCCCTCCAACTACTGTAGCGGCACGGGGCTTCTGCCGTGGGTAATCATCATTAGCGGCGCGTCCCTGCTGTTCAGGACCGAACGCTCTCAGGACGGCCTCGAGCATGCCTTCTCCGTCTTCCTGGCGGCCCTGCTTCCGCTCGCCGAGGTACGCCGAAACCAGGCTCGAGTCGAGCGTGACGACCTTGTGCAGCGCCCGAACGTACGCCTGCTTGGAAATCTACGGGGATAGCAAAAGCGATCCGATCGGTTTTCGCAACAGAGGTTGGCGTCGCCACAAGGCCGGGGGGTGGGGGGGGAGGGTCGTGGTGGGCCGAGAGTGGTGGGTTATGGGGTGGGCTGGTTCTCGTGGCAACCCACAGCAAACCGCTCATGTTCAAATTTATTCCAGGGTAAGGAACTGGCATGGTACTACTGTACGTCAGGAGATCAGCGAAACGAACGACTGAAAGCGCCCCTGAACATGAGGACCCCTCCCCCGCCAAAAAGCACAAAACAAATACCCCCGGTGGAGTCCAAACATTTTGAGAGCGCCCCGCGCAATCTGTTATAATTTTATTGATCTTGTCACCCCCGCAATAAATATCTCTGACTTCGCCCCGCAGAGCAATTTGTCTTTGCCGCCCCACGGTGCGTTCACCACAGCACCCCAACTTCCAAGGCGGCAACACTATTCGATGCTGTTTCTGCTGTTGTGGTGGCCGTCCGTTGTTGGTTGTACTTTTTCAAATAAACTCCTAGCATCTAGCAAAACTCGACGTGTCTGCCAACAGACACACTATCTAGGAGGCAGTGCCTAGGCACAGCACCGCGTATAGTAGCACTAATACAGAGGTCTGCGGCAGCAGGTGTTTGTGTGTTTGTGTATGACCGGGTGGCGACCTGGTGCGAAATAAAGTGCGTTTCTTCATGGCTTTTACGAAGGTGAGGTTTTCTTCCTTGCCTGCGGCAAGACCGCCCACACCTGCGAGAAACGCCTCGGGTTTTTCTTTTCCACCGAAAATAGTAAGCGACGCCCCGCGGGGCTTATTCGTCAGAAAACAGAACTGCCTGACGCGCAGTAATCAAACACCGAAGCAGCACGTCTGCGGTAATCATGTCCGGAGCACGTTAAGATTTTTCGAAGGGAAATGGACGAAAGTGGGTATACCCATGCCATTCCCGGACAAAAGTGGGTACTCGAAAATCCAGCGCACGCGCACTCCCAAGGCAACCCCCAAACGACTCAAAACCCCATTCTGACACCTGGGCGACACAGCCAGGGACCATACACAGCACGGGCATCGATTCTTTCCCACTTTCAGGCACACATTTGGCCCTAATACCGCCGAGACGCGCAAGGCCTCACCAGAGTGCCCACATCTGTCCGACATCGCGGTGGGTAGGTATACCCAGCGGCGTCAACTAGTTTTTTTCATGTACCCGCGTATGTCTATATTTTGAACCACTTTTGTCCAAGTTGTACCCACTTGTGTCCACTTACGGACGGCGGAAATCGAGCGGAAATCGAGCGGAAATCGAGCGGAAACCGACCTCCACGTCACCACACGGCAGAACATCGAATAGTGTCGGAACGTCTCAGAACCTCCCAACACCGTATCCATGGCTGCCGACTGCGGACCGACCGCGGAGGAACATGTCAGAAACATGCCAGGCCCCTTCGGTACCGGCACGGGAAGATACCAGGCACGGGAAGATGCCCGTGGCAAGCCCGGCAAGCAGCGCACTAACGGCAAACGCCACAAATAAGTGCGCGACACACAACGGACAATAGAACCAACGGGTTGCACATACAGAACAAAAAGACGCGCATACAGCAACAACACACACACGCTCGCCACACACACAAAAACACCAACCACCACGACGAGTGCACACCGACTCGTCACGGCAGCAGCAGCATGTCGAGGCATTTTACCACGTAACCACATGAACTTAATAGGGTATTCATGTGCACAACATGCATATGGTTCATA